TCAAACGGCGCTCTGGCGCCGACCTTACCGCACCGCGTAGAATACCGGTGGGTCGATGCCTCGAAGTGAGGCCGGACCAGTACTAAGTACTGGTTCGAAGAGGACCAGCCTCACTGCTGCGAGGCCTTGGTTGGGGCTGAACCGTCCAGATCGACGATTCAGGTCCAACCGGAGAGCGGCAGCCTCAAATGGCGCCGTCAGGCCCAAAGACGAAATGTCATTTGGGCCTGGTCCGTAGTCGGGGCCAAGTCGTGGCCTTTCGGCCTGTTATCCCCCAAGGTCGGGCCTTTAGGCCCTGATGTGTCCCTCTAGCCCTCAGTCGGGTCCGGTAGGACCCATGTGGCGTCGAAGATGTAACACACTCCCCCTCTTAAAAGACCGAGCTACTTGCGAGGGCGGAGTTGTCTGTCCGATACCGGGATGGGTCGGGTGGGACGAGCTGCGTCCTTAGCAAGGCGTCGCTTCTCATAGTCGGCGAAGATAAGGGGTGCAGAAGTCTGCAAACATGTACTGGAGATCCACCGAGTGTCGTCAGGCGCACATTGCTTGAATGTGACTTTGTACTGCATTGGCTTGTTGCCATACTTGCGGTGCGTGATGACTCGGTCCACTTCCTGATGTCCGTCCATGGAGGGTGGATACTGTGATCGACGTCCGGGAAACTCGTCTTCTGAAGGTGGTGTGTAGATGGCCAGCTTCGATGCGTGGAAGACCCGATGCACTGTYAGGTGCGGTGGAATGTTGATCACGAATGAAGGACCTGCGGGATCGTCTCCAACGGCAGAAGTGACTTCCCATGGTCCGAACCATTTCGGAAGGAGTTTGCGCGAAACATCCTGCTCGAGCGCAAATTCCTCGGAGAGGACMCAAACAAGGTCTCCCTCGCGGAAAGGACATGGAAGTCGACGTCGGTTAGCCTGCTGCTGCATGCGGATCTSAGYCTTTTGCATATTTGYSCGGGCTTTGATCAGCAAGTCCCGGTACTTCCGGACGGAAGCGGGAGAGCAAGGGACGTCTATGTCCGCAGCCTGTGGCAAAAGGAGATCAGCGAAGATCCGTGCTTTCTCTCCACCATGATGTAACTCGAATGGTGTGACGCAGATCGCCGGGTGCACCGAAGTGTTATAGGCGAACTCGATGTCGGGAAGCCGGTCAACCCAATCTTTCTGGTCGGGACGGATGAGCGTACGCAACATCATCTGAGCGGTCTGGTGCGCTCGTTCCGTCTGACCATCCGTCTGCGGGTGCCGAGCCGAGCTCGGTTTCATTGTCGTACCGGACTCAGCCATGAGGGAAGTCCAAAAGGCTGACATGAAACGAGTATCTCGATCGCTCACTATGTCTTCCGGAACACCTTGGTTGGTAATCCAACCGGTGTGCAAGAGTCGTGCGAGCTCAGGCGCTGCAGTGTGATACTTGCAAGGAAGGAAGCGAGCATACTTGCTAAAACGGTCAACGACCGTGAGAATACCGTCATGGCCGTGGCGATCGCGGGGAAACGGGCATGTCACGTCCATAGCAATGGAGAGGCGTGGTGCCAGAGGGATCGGCAACGGTTTCAGTTCGCCGAAGGGGACTCGAGATCGACCCTTGTTACGGTGGCAAACTGCACATGACTCAATGTACCTCGTGACGTCCTGAAGGACGTCGGGCCAGTGAAAACGCTGGCGGAGGCGTGCTAGTGTGCGGTTCACGCCAAGGTGTACCGAAAGTCGTGCGTCGTGGAATTCGCCGAGAAGACGAGTCCGTAAGATGCNGAGAGAGAGAGAGAGAGAGAGAGAGAGAGAGAGAGAGAGAGAGAGAGAGGCAGAGCGAGCCAAGTCAGAGACGGAAGCAAGACAAGAGAGAGAGAAGAGAGTGAGGAGGAAGAGAGAGAAGCGATAGTCGTCACCTGGTTGGGTGCCGTTGTGTATGTGTGCAGCAGAGCAGATATTTTGTATATTGATAATAATATTGGCGATGACATCTTCAAGTGTTGACTGTATCTCGATTTAGCTTCTCACGTGTGAACTCTCCTGTGGGTGTTCATTGATGTATGCGAGGTTGAGCTTGACGAGTACTTGGCTCGTTTCATATTACGTGTATTATGTCTATTTTGTCGAAGGAACACGTAGTGGAGTATAGCAAGGATACATGTATGGGGAAGGGGATGGGGAGCCACCTGAGTAAATTGCAGAATTTCCGACGTGGAGGACCCTAAGTTCCGAGGAGAAGACAAAAGAAAAGGAAGAAGTGCTACGAGGAAGTAAGGAGACGAGGTAGAAGATTAAGAGGAGAAAGTACCTGACATGTGGCTGAATGGTACACACCTGCAACTGTTGACAGCCATGAGTTCAGCGTTTTCCCCCTCCCAGCCCTCCCTCTCCTTGCGGCTAACGTAAGTCCGAGAAACTGAACCTATGTTATGTGAGGCCCAGAAGCTCCTTAAGTTGTCTCCCACCTTCTGCATCCTTCTTTGTTTTCTTTGCTCGTGTTTCTAACTTTTTAGGGTGAAGTTTCTGAAAAGTGAACCAGTTTTTTGCCTAGTTCTGTGCGTTTTTTGCTTGTGATTCTGAGGCGAAGATTCTTAAAAGTTGAACTAATTTTCTGCATAGTTGTCTCATGCAGCAGTGACATTGGTGCTGTTTCCTCCCCCCTCCCCCTACTATCCCTTGGGCATGTCCAGGTTTCTGGGCTGGAGCAAATCCACCTGCGGCATTCGTTAGGTGCAGCAAACTATATCGGGCACTCCTATGGCTCTCTGCCAATTTCAAGGGTAAGTGTCTGGTCTGTGTAATATATGTTTTTCAACCTGTACTAGTTATGTGGTTTGCATGAGGTACCATCTTCCACTGAATAGAACATACGGTCATTATAGCAGCATTCAGGCCAACTGTCAGTCCAGATGGAGTGATAAGGACCGTATGTTCTATTTGGGGGAAGATGGTAGTCATCTAGCGTATTAGCATGCAGAGAACTGTATGGAGTGAGACAAAAAAGCAAAGATAAAGTCTGAGCAAACTTTGAGGGGGGAGTTGCTATTTCATTGCTGTTCAAGAAACTCTGAAAACGTGGGCTGGGACGGCAACTGGCTGGTTGTGCCAGGCTGGTCCATCTGGGGTCAGTCCAGTTGAGGGGGTACATCCGGAAAAACGTTTGAGGCCAAAGCTCACCCTATGTTTTTTTTTTTTGGTTGTTTGTTTTGAATGCGGGATCCCACTGCGTTCAACAATAGCTGTCAGATTCCTTTTGTGGGGGCTTTTCCAGGTTGGGGGGGCGGTGTGGGTGGGGGGAAAGAAGAGGAGGAGGAGGAGGAGGAGGAGGAGGAGAAGCAAGTACTGTTGACAGAAGTGGATTGGTTACCACTTGCCCTGAGGAGAAGAGGAAAAAGAGGAAGAGGACGAAGATGAGAAGAAGAAGAACAGAGGAACAGGAAGAAGAAGAAGAAGAAGAAGAAGAAGAAGAAGAAGAAGAAGAAGATGGCGAGGGGGAAGGGGGGGGGAGGG